TGCCTTTAAAACAAAGCCCTCCAGCGGCTCGCTGTTACCACTGACGGCTTCGATCTCCACCTGATCTTCCTTCCGAGCATATGACCAGAAATAACACTGCACGCTCCACACTAGTAACGTTGAGGTGCATCAATGGAGAGCATGCACAGAACAACAGGAAAAAAGCCAGAAAACAATTGTAAGAGAGCTTTAATTTTTAAAAAAAATTTACCCTTGGTTTTTGTTCTGTTAACAGTTGTAAAGTTTTGAATTTCCTACTACTTTTTGCTGGCTCCAAAGGACACAAACAGATGATGAATCTACTGAGAGAGTATCCTGGATATGAGAGAGATCCTTATAAAGCTTGTGGCTTGTGTTCAGTAGCTCTCCACAAAACAGAGGCCCCTCAAAATACTGAAGGCACCTTATTTAAGAAGTCTGTATGCATATTGACCAATCAGGGCGCCAAACAAAAATTCCTAGAGTTCAAAGTGATATTCTATTGATTCCACAAATCACAGCACGGGAAGAAAGCACTAAATAGTCAACTTGTTTTGGGGGCTCAGCATGTCCCCTTCATCAGGGCTCTAAAAGCTCTAAAGCCAGAATGTGCTATATCTGTAGCAGTGCAGCATGCTGACAGCTGTGTGCAATAAAGAGTTAAATTGCTTATTTTGTGCTCAATCTGCTTTGAGATGCTTCTTGGATCTTTCAGAATTCATTGAAGGTGAAGTTGACCCCATCTGCTTTAGCTGCATTTACATTCCTATAGACTTGTATGGGGAGAGAAGCAAACTGTCTAAATGCTGTTTCCTGCAGATGCTGTTCCAGCAACACTCCTTCAGGTTGAATGACACCCAGCGTCTTTAGATGCACTTCTTGGGAGGTTGGGGCATCAAGGCCCTGCACCCACCCTAGATTCTCAAAAGAATCATTACCTGGTACTAAATAGGAGTTGGCCAGATGATCAAATCAATCACACCCGAGGAAAAAGAAATTGTATTGAAAGAAGGGTGTTTTGGGGGGGCAGGGTAATAACTTGGATTTGGGCTTTAAAGCCTCATTCTTGGTTTCTTGTGACTTTAATAGTTCATTTGGACAAACCTGTTCCAAATTATTTGCTTCACTAACAGATGCACCTGCTAGGAGCACTGTATAAATGGCATTTATAAATGTGTTCCAGCAGTGGTATGGTTGAGGTCCTGTTCCTGAAACAAAATTAAGCTGGGATGAGCTATGCTCTGCCATTCACATCAAGCATTGTATTTCATCAACGAATACAAGGCTTCCTCTAATTGGCTAAGGTGGAGATTGTGACATCTGCCCACCTCTCCATTTCATCCAATCAGGGAAAGTCCTGTATTCCGTGATGAAATACAATGCTTCCTGGAATGGCTGAGCAGAGTCCAGCCTGGCTCTTTTGTTCCAGGAATGTGACAGGAATACCCAATCGCACTGCCAGGACACAACTCCTGTATACTGTGTAGCTACATACAGGTTTATAGAGTGCTCTCAGCAGGTGCATCTATTAATGAAGAAAATATTTGTTTGGATCAACTTAGTCACAAGTAACCTGGTGTTGGGTTTTAACACCTTTCTGCCTGGCCTATAGCAGATTGATGGCCGAGTGGAACACTCCTCCTTCTGAGTGGACATAATATGATGTCCTGTCAGAAGGTGCCACTCACGTGGCTGCGGGAGAGATCACTATAATGGCCAGCTGCCAGTGTTATGTGACCACTGTGACCAATCGCAGCAGATCACATGACAATTGTATAGCATGGATGGCTTCCTTTCATGCCATCCATTATATACAATTGTGGTAGCTGTGATTGGTAACAGCGGTCACATGGTACAGACAGGGCCATCAGTCCATCTGTATCATGTGATGAGCTTTGCCCAATCACAGTTAATCACAAAAGACTGAATTCGTTTAAGTCAGTAACAATGGTTGCTAATATCAATGAGATATATTGGTATTCGCAATCAAAATGTGTAAAAATAAAAAAAATTTAAAAAAAAACTTGATCACTTGACCAGAGTAGTACAATGTTGCATTGTATTTTTCTGGTCATAGTGTGTTAAGAAAAATAGAAAATAAAATAAAAATGTTATACTTTTTACATACTGTCACTATTCCAGTGTCCCTGATCATGCTACACAAGTTATATAATAACACTGGACTGATGACAATATGTAAAAAAAAAAAAAAAAAAAAAATTAATTTTTCAAGAAATTACAGCTTTAAAAAACTCTCACCATGCCTCTTACTAAATACCTTGAACTGGTTTCCAAAAAAAAAATTGGTCATTTGGGGGCATTTGTACTGTCCTGGCGTTTTTCAGGCCTCTAGAAATGAGATTGAATGTCGGTACATCAGGATTGATAGATTATCAGATACATAGTATGGTTTGTGGACTCTAACTTTCCTACAGACTAAATAATGTGCACTAATTTTGGTTATTTCTTACATATAAATGTAGCAGAATACATTTTGACCTAAATTTATGAAGAAACGTTATTTGCAAAATTTTATAACCGAAACTAAGAAAACATTTTTTTTAATTTCTTTTTTGTTTAGCAGAAAAAAAAAAAAACTCGGCGATTTAATAAATACCACCAAAAAGCACTATTTGTGTGAAAAAAAGATACATTTTTTTATGGGTGCAGTGTTTCATGACTGCGTGATCGTCATTCAAATTGCGACAACACTGAAAGCTGAAAACCGGCCTGTGCTGGAAGGGGGTAAAAATGCCCGATATTGAAGAGGTTAAAGTACAACTAAAGGCAAAACACTTTTTTTTCTTTTTACATTTTGGATAAAGTGGAGATAGATCAGAACGCCTATTAGATTTTTATTGCTGTCTATGCCCATTAGGGAAATTCACCCTCTCTATTTGTTTTGTTTAACATTATCAGTGAAAGTAAAGGAAGGTAAATCTTCCCAATTGGACACGGATGGCAAAAATTAAACTGACAGGACCAAAATGAATAATTCTACTTTAGAGGATGGGTTAGCACAAGTGTCCCCTTGATTTGCTGCTACTCCTTGGGCAGGTCCCAGACCAGTCTGTATTGAGCATTTTTTTTATCTGTTGTGCAATATATCATTATTTTAAATGACTTCAAGTCGGATACTCTATTGGTATAATATCTGTAAGTAAAGATTTGTGTGTGTTTAGGGCATTTGGTTAAATGTGAACTAAACCTATGCTAGGTAGCGACCTAACATCATAACACCATACCTGCCGCAGCTTTCCAGTTCCTCATTCTGCTCTGTTATTTGTATCCAGGCTTTGACTTTACAAGGTTGTTCGTACAATTTAATAAAAGTAATGTAATAATTTTAATATACGCACACAATTGGGTTGACCAAAAGATAAATGGAAACAACAATGATGGCGCGTTCCCCCAGATTGTTTTTAATAAGCATGTTATTTAGTTCATCAGCCTACCGCAGTAATGCTTTGAATCTGGCTCTGCCAGACAAATTTGTTAATGCCTTTTTCCCCTCCCCCCTTTTCAGGGAACATTGATTCCCTGCAGACATATCTCTATTAAACCTCTAGAAAGTCACAACTTCCAAATTAGATTAAGTAGCGAGCACGGTACTAGAGGAATCAAAGAAAATTGAGTGTATTATTGAATTCATGCCACATTGTCTGCAGAAGGGAGATGCTTTGTATGGCTGCAACGTTTGTCCTTACTATACTAACAAAGATGTGGCCACAGTCATGTAATATCATTTTGTAAAACGCATTAGGAAATCTTGCGTACGTCCTGTTGAAGGAGATACAGTAATCTGTGTTTCCTTGCTTTAGGAATGTAGGGATACCGCTTATCCTTGGAACAATCATTTTATAACTCTTTATGTAATTGTTGGACTATTTGCTTTATAGGTCCTATATGGGGGGGGGGGGGGGGGGGGGTGGAGGAAGTAATTAACATTGCAGATGATGTGTGAAAGACTTGAACATATTTTATACTTGTCAAAGTTTACCTGAAGCTGGTTTATACACTTCCTTTTCAAAATAAATGTTATTTTGAGATTTGCTATTTTTCAGACTTAGTAAAACCCCCTTCCCATGAAAACATTTTTAACATGTATGCATGGTGCAGTTTATACATTTCCATGCAATTCTGTGTCATCCACATTTTATTAAAGCACATTAAAAATTCAGCTTGTTGGACTTTCAAAAAACATGCTTGATGAAAATGCTGAAATTAAAACCATGTTCTGGAATATTATGTTTGAGGGCAACCAAGCAACAGCTAAGGGTGGGCACATGAATGAAAAGCTGGTTGTTGTGATGTTCTTTAACATGTTCTATATTCTATTTGTTTTCCTCTCTTTTAGAAATTAGGCCTCCCATGTACAGTCTAATAATGGGTAGGATATTGGCATTGCTTGCATAAATCGGGCAGTGTAGGGGTTAACTATCTGATGAGAATTAATGTGCACAATGGAAGGATCCTTTCAGAGCACTTGTCCTGATACTCAGCATTGTAAAAGTCAGATAGAAATGTTGTGACAAGTAACTTGGTGACAAGTAAATCTCTCATCACTTGAGATGTCAGATCTGCTTATCTAAGTAGCATTTTTAGTGCAGGCCATGAGCAAAACGGGGGGAAAGTGCAATTTGCTGGTTTAAAGTATCCAACTTTTATATTCAATTCCTCTCCTTAACAGCTGAAGTTAAGTACGTGATGCTTTATTGCATGTCGCTGTGCATACAATTTAAGAGCTTACTATATGAATTTTGGACTTTTATTAAAAATGAACAGGAATATCTTGAAGTGCTCCTTTTAATTATTTGTGATTTGGTATGTTTGTTTTTCAGGGGATACTGGGTAGATGCATATAAACAAGAAAATAAAGTATCTGGTTTGTTTTTGAAATGTATTGGGATTTTGTGCTCTTTTGCAGAAGCATTCACAGTCGCGCAGCCCAAGGACATGGGAATGCAGGCATCCAAGCACAGACATTGTTGGTGGCAAAAGAGCGCCATCTAGCTGTCGCTGCTGCTCTCTGGAGAAATTTCTTCCCATTCTTGAAGAGCCTGAGACTTTCTCAAACACCTCCCTCCCAGCTAGCTGACACGGCAGCAGGTCTGTGCTCTTCTCCCCTCTTTTAGATCTTTTATATCTCCTGTCCTACTTTTGCAGTTAATTTTATTATAAAGATAATTGAATGCATTTTATTAATTTCTCCTAAATATCTATTTTCGTATAGCTTGGTGTTTACAGCCTTTTTTTTTTTTTTTTTTCTTTCTTTCAGGCTACACACTTCTGGCTTTGGACATACCTAGCAGTGCGCCACTTGAGCTTCAACCTCAGCCCTTTGTGTCAATGATGCAGTTATATGGATGGGATGACATGGTCACTCCCCAGCTGGTGTGCCGCTATCTGAGCCATCTAATTGCAAACAGGTAAGATAACTTTCATGGAATTATAATGAGATGTAATACTTGTGTGAAGGTCAAGTTCTTCTGTTTAGTGCAATGAAGTATTGGTAAAAGTTTTCTGTACCAAGTGAAGCTGCGTACACGCTTTTTTTTTTTTTTTTTTTTTTTTTTTTTTTCTCAACCCAGTGGACTGAAAGGGGGGAAAAAAAGATCACAGATTGCTGTACCAACACAAGTGATTTTGGTGCAGCAATCTCCACCGCTGTGCTATTGTATTCTGGCCCACCCCCTCCAGAACACACTGATCAGTGCTTGCAGCAATTGGCTGCAACTGCTAATCTGAGGCAGGTCGGATGCTGGTTCTCCAGCATTCCTGTTCAACTTTAGAACAGACAGCTGTACACAGGAGCTGAAGATTTCAGGGTGATATCTGGCCCGTGTGTACAAGGCTTTACACAGAGCTGTAAGATGGCACACATTTGCTAGTGCAAATTTTAGGAGTTCTGTCACCATAAGTGCCACAAACTGTGCTTTGTTAAAAGTTGGGAAACTAATTGCATTTGATTTCAGACAGTTGGTAAAGCTCCATGGGATGTATAACCAAGCTCAGCTTTATCGTAAAAAAAAATGTTTTATATATTGTAAGGTAGCCACTAGTTAGGAGTTACCTGGTGTCATCACACGGCACAACAGAGCTGTCCTTTATTAGTCACAAACAAGTATGCTATTTCCTGTTGAAACGAGGATACCTTCTCTTCACATGTCCAAATCACAATTCGCCTGAATCATAGAGAATACAGTAGGCTCAATGTCACGGTGATTGTTTAGAGGACAGGCAAATTTTTTCATCTTCCATTTAAACATCTAGGGCCACATTTTCTGTCAAGTAGCAAAAAGAAACTCATTTGTTGTGATGAGGTCACTCTGTATCTGTATGTTATTTATAACACCAGGACCATTTCTTTGGTCATGAAGGACCAATGGCTCAAGGTTTTTCATCTTTAGGTTTTCAGCATTGCCCTTTTTATTTCAGTTTGTATATTTTGAGAAATATTTGACAAAATAAATGACATGATCGAATTTAAAAGCACATTAATGATAACCTAAGGTTACAACTACGTTGAACAGTCTGTAGTGCACATGCCAACAGCTGCAGTCTGTATAGAGGTACCTCCCTACATTATGTATAGATATATATATTCTGCATTATTGGCCTGCGCTGTATGTGGGGGCTGTAGTTGGCATCTATAGAGGCCTGTGTAGATGGTTTGTTTGCTTCAGGCAGGTTTTGTATGCCCAGACAAGTCAATGGGAATGCAAAATCCGCTTGCAGTAGCCCAAATGCAGTTAGGGTCAACTGCAGATCAAATGCACTTGTCTGAATGATCTCAGAAACATTTCAAACTGATGCCATCCACACAAACCCAAATCTGATCGACAAAGGCCATAAAAGACACAGATAAAGTACATGTGTGTATGGTCTCTTTGTTAACTCGCACAAGTTATTCTATTTGCATACAAGGTTTAGTAATTGAATTTATTGCTGAAGGAAGCAAACTGGTTTATACATCTGTTGTGAACTACAAATTCAAGCATGTCTAACCAGACAGATGCTGGCAAGATGTGCTGTGAGATCAACTTCCACAACAGCTGCAAGGCCACACATTAAACACTGCTGCTGTAATGTGTGCTAACGTGGTGACAGCTTTGAAAGATTGCGCATTCAGCCATTTATATCATCACAGCTAGGAGAAATTAAACTTCTGTAATGCTCATTAAGCAATTATTTAGCCTCTAAAGATAGCTGTGTAATTAGGTCCCTGAAAGTGAATGTGCTAGTCAGACACAATCAGGTCTGTTTAACAGCACAGTTTAAGGTGCAGAGATATGCAAGAACTCCTAGAAACCAATCATATTTCATCAATTCGAGGCTATGAAAGATGATTCCAGATTGGATACTGCACACCGTTATTTGCCCTGTTTATTTCACTGTCTAATAGTGGTGTTTTATGTCACATTCTAGCGGTGTGAAGTTTAAGTAACATTGAAAAGCTTTTTAACTACATTTTATTCCCTAGAACATTAACTGAGGCTCTCAATGGCATTGGAAATGCAGCTTATCAGGCCCTGTCAATCAGAACATGGAGTCGATGTGTTTTGCAGATGTATGTTGATCAGCCAGTAGGTGGTACAATTCGGACAGACACTGAACAATGTAAGTTTTATGTTTGAATAATTCTCCTGCAGTAATTTGCCACTTCGTCAAATTTGGTTTTAATTGTTTTCATTACAACGGATTGTTGAAACTTTCAGGGCCCGTGTAGACCTATGCTTGGACATAGAGGTGTATTTTTTGTTTTAGCATTAGACTGGTGCGTTCTCACGAGTCAATGTGTGTTTTCTTGTCAACATGTGTTGTTGACACACCTTTTTCAAGGTGTTTTTCACTCTAGGATTTGGAGTGGATAGCGTTAACAGCTATTAACCAAGTTTGTTAATATCCTTTGCTAATGCATCAAAGCACATGTAGCGCATGCTTTGATGCATTTGCTATTGACTTTGAAACACTGAAATGCAGAAGAAAAGAATGTTGTATTTTTCAAAAAACACTGCAAGGTCTCTCTGAGATCAGAACACACTATTTTTATTATGGGGAGGAGTGAGGCATATGCGTTTTAACGCATTAGGTATACGTTAAAATGCAACCACGTGAATGGGCCCTTTAGGTTTCAGTCACATCTACTAATAGTGCTCAAAATTTTAACTGCTATACTTGCTGTTAAATGTAATTCAGATTGTTCCCTCAAACAGTAGTTAGTTGCAGATCTATCACCACATGGGATACATTTCCAACTAGTTAAAATTGCTAGAAAAAGTTATCGAAAATCTGTTTTGACATTGTTTTTTTGTGCCTGGAATGCTACATATGTAATTTTTTTTATTACTGTGCAAACATGCTTAAAGTATATGTAAAGACAAAACTTTAGAAGAGAAGAGGTTTGGGGCTGCTCTGCAATACTATTGCACAGAGCAGGTAAGTATAAACCTGTTTGTTAATTTAAAAAAAAAAAAGAAGTAGTTTACAATCACTTTAAGAGCTTATACACATACTTTTTCACAACCTGTATTTGATTGTTGTACCTTGTTAATATAATAGGTATGATTTCTGTTTGCATTTTGATTTTACAGCGTCACTACTTTCAGAACAGCTCACAGAACTAACCCGGTTAGTATTCAAGCTGCCTGAAGTAGAAAACATGTTTGTTAAAGCTCAAATCGAACCAGCAAGTTACAAACAGGATCCAAAAAGTGCACTTTTGCAGTTTTTTCAGGTAATGTAACCTACAAGCAAAAACGTAACAAATGACCTCTCTTCACCCGTTGGAAAAGGCCTTTTATTTAAATTCAAAAAGCACTATAGTGAGCAATATGAAAATATAAGCAGTTTTATTTTTCTCTTTAGGTAGTTGGCATAGTCTACAGTGGCCTGCAGACCTTGTCAGAAAAGTCTGCCATGGTGTCAAAATGCCTGGAGTATTCTGGAGATATCCTAAAATATGTCAAGCCCTATCTGACTAAGAAGGGGCCTGTGGAAGGGCTGCAGATTACTTACCGTACTGTAGGTGAGTGGGCACCTCATATTATATTGTTTTGGTAAATCTAAAGGAAAATTGTATAATGTATGGCCAGCCTAAAATATACATCTGTCACATAGACACTGTGCTGCATTGCTGCTGAAGACAGTACAGTAAATTCAAAGAATTAAAGCAATATTCAGGTATATAGCTAACAGGTTCATGGAGGCATCTATGGTCTCTGTTTTCCCAGTAATGGCTTCTTTTAAAAAGTGATGTTATGTGACTGGTTTGGTTTAAATGGAAATCTGCAATCTGTTGTGGGCCTTCCATGTAATAACACAGAGCTCTGTGATCTGAAGTAAACCAAACCACACTCTTCAAACAAATGCTAGAATATATATGTGGCACCTGTATAAAACTAAAATACTGATTTTGTTTAACATCTGCAATGTTAACCTTTCAATAACATTTGATGCCTTGGTACTTTTAGTATATGTGACAAAGGAAGAAATGCTCCTATTTAGTCACTAAAGTATGCACCATGAAAATGTACATAGCTTTATTCAACAAGACTCCTAAAAAGAGCAATTGGAGCTCTGAGAACACAGGAAACTTTCAGGCATAATGCCTTTCTTGTGAATGTTCAAACTAAGCTTCATATGAGATGTGATTTAACTACAGAATAAGTCACACTGATTGACTCCTGAGGGTATGCCAAATATGCAGGATCTGCTGTTGTTTTATCTTCTTTCTTGTCGTCTTTCCAGGATATCTTGTGCGGTACTGGGCATCGATTCTGGCCACTTCCAAAGCACAGCAGCTTCTCTTCCGCATCATCGATTACCTGCTTTTACCACATGCTTTGTTCCAACAAGATAAGGGTTTGCCGGCAGCTATGCTGTCTGCTGTAAAGGAGAGCCTGCCTCTCTTTCTCCAGGTACAGGTCTGAAACATCCTGGAACAGTGTAGCAAAATGTGTGTCCCACAGTGACTTCTGAAAATGTCTCCTTACTTGTGAATCGTTCTTTTATATTTGTTTAGTTGCTAGTGCTTATAGGATATATTTGTGATAAAACAGCAGTATAGGTGTTACCATATTTTTCATTACAATGTTGGGGTTTTTTTTTTTGGGGGGTTTTTTTGTTCTTTTTTTATTGGACACTATATACTGTATATAAGCAGTTATTGCTGACCAGAACTTTGGTTAAAAAGTGCAGTAAATGCAGTAGCAATCAAACTTCACCTTTCAACAGTTTACACAGAAAGATCAATGAAAGGTGATTTATCATGATTGCTATGAGTTACTGAACTTTGCATATTTCTCTAGTTAATATAACATTTTTCCGATGGGAAGAGGCTTCCTGTTAAGAACTCCTGACCAAAGAAGAATCTGATCAGTGTCGCCTTAGCTTCTTTTTCAGCCTGAGGTGAATGAACACCTCACATTGTTCACTGCTTCCATGTCACAGAAATTTTAAGGCGTTAAAGCTAAACACACCAGGTAGAATGACACTCAAGTAATTCTGCACTTTCCTGTGAGCCTAGCCTATTGTTTACGCACCTTCCTGGGGGTGCATCATCACGCAGACTGGGTTCACAGTACTCCAGGACTGAATCAATCTGTCCTTGGGATTGCAATCTAGCTACAAAGTGATATGTGAGTGGATTTATAACAGAACATCCCATCACTTTAGCATTAAAGTGCTGTGACAGCCTTTTGGGACCTCCATTAGCCATGTTTACACATTTAAAGTGATTATAAAGGTTCACTTTCTATTTTTTTGAAAATGCTAAACATTTTATACTTTCCTGCTTTGTGCAGTGGTTTTGCACAGAGCAGGCCTGATCCTCCTCGGGTCCTCCTCTTAAACTCCCCCCTTTGACGAGTACCTCCATTGCAAGTCACTTTCTATGGGGGCACTCGTGCGTGCTCGCTCCCAAGCCAACTCTATGCCCAAAAGAGACCCATAGCATGGCTTAGCCAACCCCCTCCTCACTGACTGTGATTGAAAGCAGAAGGAGCCAATGGCTCCCGCTGCTGTATCTTAGCTAGTGAGGAGAGAAGCTATGTTCTCATACACGGGTAAGTATGGGGAGAGCTGCAGGTTTCATTAAAAACTTGATGATCCTGCCATGTAGGTCCCTGTTCTTGCACTCTGAGGTGACAACTGTTTTCCCGCATTAACTCCCTGTTACACACCCTCCTGATTGAGACTACAAATGGATGTGCCAACCCAAATTGTCCAAGAATGATGCATGAATGTCATTACGTGAAGCTGACCCTGAGCAAAGGTCTGCAGCCAACACTGGACTGTATGTAGACATGAAGTGGCTAACAGACTGAGAGAAATTAGCAGCACTGAGATGCAAAAATTTTTTTTTTTTTTTGTAAATAAAAAATGGTTTCATACATAGAAGAGAATTATCCAAACTGGAGCAACTATGCATGGCAACCTGTCAGTTTCTATGTTTCATTTTCAAAGCTTAACTAAACATGCTAAAGATAGAAGCTGATCAATTGTCTTGCACAGCTGCTCAAGATTCAGGCTACTCCAGTTTTTTAAAATTTCCCCCATAGTACTTTAGCAAAACAAATGTCATCCAGCTAGGGTTGAGATCCAGCTAGGGTTTAGTTAAGCTGGTCATATGGGTATGCAATTTTATAGGCCAGACTTGCCAAAATCACAACACCTATGGTCCTGCAGCTTGGTATTTTATCAGGAATAATCACAAACTGGTTAATGCAGAGAGATATAATTTGTATGTGGTTTGAGGCACCAACCTGCTCAGCCTGTTTGCTTAAACATAGCATAAGAATAAAATATAAATCCTTTACTTGCAGTAGACTCATAATTTTTCTTTCTTCGTTTTAGGGTCTATCCATTATATCTCGCCAATCTCAGGCACAAGCTTCCTATGTAAAACAGCAGCTAAAAACCATTATTGAGCAATATTTTGGGAGGTTTTTGCCCAGTGTTCCTCAAGCCCCGACTGCTGGAAGCCACCCTATACTTTTAGCCCTGTGTGATTCTGTTCATAGCCCACATACTTCCATCCTCAGAAAAACTGTAATGCAAGTCTTAAGGTAAGTATTCTGTCACCTTGATATACCAACTCTAAAACTTTACAGATGTATGATTTTTTTAGTATAAGTCATAGTAACAAACTGGTATTAAAAATGCTTGTGATCTATTTACAGTGACAGTCACTTGCAGTTTAAAGGCCAGGCACCACCTCCTCGGCTAGCCTTTGTTCTGTCTTTCATTGTTGACATTTTTCAGCGAAGTAAGACCATTGAAGTATCAGATGCTGAGTTTATTCTTCCTGCTATCTTGAAGTGCATGATACTGGTCAATGAGCCAATGGGTAAGTCATTTGAGTCCTTTATTGTAGCATTATACAATGATATTAATGGCCACTTCAATAATAAAAAAGCAAACATGCCACTATTGTCACTAGTATTAAAGCTGCTTTCTAGCAATTTTTTTTCCACAGCTTTAGTAACATAATTTGCCTGTAATTAGGGATATCTTAAGTTGTGCAGACTGCTGGATTCTGGAGAAATCTTCACTAGTGAACTGCCCCATCTGTGTGGCTGAACTTCTGGTGTGTAGGAAGTTAATATTTCTAAGCTTCTGGCTAAGCTGCTGTGAAAAAAGTTCCTGATAAAGGACCCTCCTCCCCATTGAAAAAAGTTCTTTCATTGCCTTCAGTAACAGTATCTGAATGGGGAATAGTTTGCGTCACAGGATTCTCACTATTGGTTGAGCACTTTACAGGTATAGAAAATTTTCTCATGGGAAGAGGTGGCATTCCTTGTTGGGAACTTTAACAGGACCTTAGGCTGGAGCCTGACACACTTAACCTCCTGCATACCAGCAGTTCAGCGAAAAGCAGAGGATTGGGCAGTCACTCAGTGACTTTGCCAGGATCCAACTGTCTGCATGATGTGGGACATCCTTCATTACAGGCAAATCATTAAAGCTGTGGAACAAAAGAAATTGCTACATTTCTGCTTTAACTGGTCATATGCACTATGAAGTTGGTGCTTTGGCATGCTAACTCTCCAGGGAGCCAGGAGTAGGAGGGGCAAAAGCACATATTTGCATTATAGGGGCCCTTGGGATATGCCTCGGCACTGTGAAGATATCTGCAGGTATTTGCATCCATTTTTTTTTGCATTTCTGGTATAGCTTGTAAATATAGTAATGGGTTTTGCATTAAAAATAAAGAAGTGCATAAACTCTTTTTTATTTTTTACATGTATTAAATGTTTAGTATTGTATGATGCACAAAACGCCATTAACCACTTAATTTCTCCTGCCTTTATACCCCTCATGGAACAGAGCAGATTTAGATTTCTACTTATGGGTCTGGTTATTCAGTGATGACATTACTTAATATAACAAAGTCATGCGTAGTTTTTTTTTTTTTTTTTAGGGGTGAGGTTATTGTCTTGCAATTTATTTATTTAATTTTTTTGCTTTCTATGCTATTTATAGACATAAATGTGAAAAAATGTTTTCCTCTTTTGACCAGTGTTAAAACAAAATTCAACTCTGGTGGAAAACCTCCCTTGCAGTGGGCCAGACCCCCCACATTTTTATAGCAAAATGCACTTATAAGTATAGAGAACCGGATATAATGCTTCTACTTACCTGAACCACCACTCTGGCAGGCTTACCATAGGCTACTAGACTGCTCCCCACAGCCTCTTTTCCCCCTTGACAGTTGCAACTGTAGCTGCTGATTTTCAAAAAACAGCCATTTACCTGTCCCTCGGTCTCGTGGTGTGTCCCCTGCAGCCCGTTTCACCGGCCGTCCTGTATTCCAGGAGGCTGGCATCTTCAGCGTGGGCACCCAGCTGTGATAGCTTGGGGCTTCACAGCCGGGTACCCACTGCGCATGCGTGAGTAGCGCTGCGCTTCATGAATGGTCCTGTAGTCTTCTGGGACCTGTCACATGTCCCAAAAGACTACAGGGAGGGAGGACACCATCCGCTTCTGGTCGCTTAGGCGATTGGACCGGAAGTGGAAGCAGATACCTGTCAAATTTGGGTACCCGCTCTATCCAACCCCGCCCCCCAAAGGTGCCAATCCTTATTGGGGAGCGGGGGGGAGCAGTCCTTAAAGCAGAGCTCCACCCAAAAGAGGAAGTTCCGCTTTAAGTACAATGCATGGCCTTGCATTGGATGTAAAGATGCAGAGGGACAGATTTTTCCTTTTTAAAGGTCACACATTTTGATCTACATACAGTGCCTTGAAAAAGTATTTATACCCCTTGAAGTTTTCCACATTTTGTCATGTTACAACCAAAAACGTAAATGTATTTTATTGGAATTTTATGTGATAGACCAACAGAGTTGGAACAGAAGTGTTAAGTGGAAGGAAAATGATAAATGGTTTTTCAAAATTTTTTACAAGTAAATATCTGAAAAGTGTGGCCTGCATTTTTATTCAGCCCCCTTTACTCTGATACCCCTAACTAAAGTCTAGTGGAACCAATTGCTTTCAGAATTTACCTAATTAGTAAATAAGAGTCCACCTGTGTGTAATTTAATCTCTGTTCTGTGAAACCCTCAGAGGTTTGTTAGAGAATATAAGTGACCAGACAGCATCATGAAGGCCAAGGAGCACACCAGACAGGTCAGGGATAAAGTTGTGGAGACGTTGAAAGCAGGGTTAGGTTATAAAAAATAATATCCCAAGCTTTGAACATCTCACGGAGCTCTGTTCAATACATCATCTGAAAATGGAAAGAGTATGGCACAACTGAAAACCTAACAAGACATGGCCATCCACCTAAACTGACAGGCCAGGCACGGAGAGCGTTAATCAGAGAAACAGCCAAGAGGCTCATAGTAACTCTGGAGGAGCTGCAGAGATCCACAGCTCAGGTGGGAGAATCTGTGCACTGTACAACTATTAGTCGTGCACTCCACAAATCTGGTCTTTATGGAAGAGTGGCAATAAGAAAGCCATTGTTGAAAGAAAGCCATAAGAAGTGCCGTTTGGGAGAAGCCATGTGGGGGCAAACATGTGGGGGCTTATTTCACAGCAAACATGTGAAATAAGGTGATCTGGTCAGTTGGGACCAAAATTGGAGTTTTTGGCCTAAAAGCAAAACGCTATATGTGGCAGAATACGAACACTGCACATCATCCTGAACACACTATCCCCACCTTACAACATGGGGGTGGCAGCATCATATTGTGGGGATGCTTTTCTTCAGCAGGGACAGGGAAGCTGGTTAGAGTTGATAGGAAGATGGATGGAGACAAATACAGGGCAATCTTGGAAGAAAACCTTTTAGTCTTCAAAAGACTTGAGACTGAGGCAGAGGTTCACCTTTCAGCAGGACAACGACCCTAAACATACAGCCAGAGCTACAATGGAATGCTTTAGATCAGGGATATTGAATTAAAATTCAAGGAGGTCCGGTCACTAAAATTTTCTTTTGACCGAGGTCCGAACAGGGTGTGCCCATCAGTGTGCCCATCAGTGTGCCCCCTTACATTATGTGTTGCCATCAGAGTGCAACTTTATTGTGTATTCCCATCACATCAGGTGTGTCTATCAGAGTGCTTCTTTACATCAGGTATTCCCATCACATTGCCACCTTACATAAGGTATTCCCTTCAGAGTGCCCCCATACACTCAAAGTACCCCTTTCTGTCATATTTCCCCATCAGAGTGCCCCTTTACATCATATTCCACATCACTGGCCCTTTTCGTCACATGTGCCCATCAGAGTGCCCATTTGTGCCCCCGTAACATAAAATGTGCCTGTCAGTGCCCCTTAACATAAAATAAGGGGCATGCTGATGAGCACATTTTTGTTAAGGAGAACTCTGATGGGCACGTTTTATATTAGGGGGCACTCTGATGGGCACATTCTATGTTGTGCCCATCAGAGTGCCTCTTAACATAAAATGGGCCCATCAGAGTGCCCCTTAACATAAAATAAGTGGCGCTCTGATGGGCACAACATAGAATGGGCACTCTGATGGGCACAATCTATGTTGTGCCCATCAGAGTGCCCCTTAACATTCAATGTGCCCATCAGTGTCCCTGTAAGACTCCACCCTGCCTTAAGGAGCTGTGCTGGGATCCTTGCTGGACGCTTGTGTACAGGAAGGGAGCGAGAGCCGGAGAGACAGTGAGCTGAAAGGGGTGGGGCACACGCGTGATGTCATGTTGCCGTGACGACCGCCCTGCTCAGTGGTGGATCTGTCAGTGCGGGCTGGCGGTCCGGGCGGCAGCACTACTGGGGCCTTTCGCAGACCGCGGTACGCCATTTCGTGACCGCTGGTTTAGATCAAAGCATATTCATGTGTTAGAACGGCCCAGTCAAAGTCCAGACCTAAATCCAATAGCGCATCTGTGGCAAGACTTGAAAATTGCTGTTCACAGACGCTCTCCATCCAATCTGACAGAGCTTGAGATATTTTGCAAAGAAAAATGGGAAAAAATGTATCTCTAGACATGCAAAGCTGGTAGAGTCATCCCCAAAAAGACCTGCATCTGTAATTGCAACGAAAGGTGGTTCTGCAGAGTATTGGCTCAGGGGGGCTGAATACAAATGCACGCCACACTTTTCAGACATTTATTTGTAAAAAATTCTGAAAACCATTTATCATTTTCCTTCCATGTCACAATTATGTGCCACTTTGTGTTGATCTATTACATAAAATCCCAATAAAATACATTTTACGTTTTTGGTTGTAACATGACAAAATGTGGAACATTTCAAAGGGTATGAATACTTTTTCAAGGCATTGTATGAAATACATTGTAAATACAATGAAACAATACATTGGTAACTTGCCTTTACTATATAAAAGGGTTGCTGTATTTTGACAGTGGGTAATAGTGAAAAAAAAAAAAAAAACAGGGTGGGGAGCTGATGTTACAGTGTACAGCTAAAGATGGGAGCTCTGAGAGCTTATTGGAGAGAAGGGACACTCCCCTTCTCACATCACAGAACAGAGGATATCAATCACAGGCTGTGAGATGATGCTCTCCTTCCCCATCACCAGTTGTCTGTTGGAGTCGGGAAAACCTGTCAAAAGTGATTCATGCAGATCACAGTAACAAGGCAGCAGAGAGAAATCGCACTCAGTGCTTTGAATAGAAACAATTGCACAATACAGAAGAATGTGCTTTGTTCATGTTTCATGTCTTGAGATTTACAACCACTTCAACAAAGTTGATGTATTTTCTACATTAGTTTTTCTTTTAAATGTATCTTCTGTGTTCACAATCCTCAAGTGGTAGGGGAATAAATCCAAGGCCTCACCTGCTTGGGTGATACAGGGAGCACTATTAATGTCACAACTGCAACTATGAGGCCCAGCCTGACTGGTCTGTCAGAGGTTGAAAGCTTAAAAAATAAATTCTGCTATATGCTGAAAAAATATTTTAAAGAAATATCTGGAAAATATTGGTTGCTATATATTTCAGAAATAGGACATGCACACATTAGTATTAGTAATGTGCGTTCAACCAGTTACCTAAACTGTGTAACATTTTACATTCTCACAAACAAGCATCTATCAGGAGAATTCAGTGAAACAGCAATGTCACTTTTCTGGCAGTATGGCCCTTTTTAACGTGGCCTGCACCTAATTCATGAAAGCTTTGTGCCAGTTTCAGTACAAGTACCAACATGTACATCAGATCCAGCTAGTTTTTACTACCACTACTTTTAGATTGTCACTGTGGCTGCACCAAATTCTTAAAGAATTACCACCAGTTTGCAGATAAGCACACTGACAAGTGTTACTAAACCCACAACACTAAAATCAGTCTGTATATGCTGTAAAGCATGCTTGATATACTCGCTGGCACCTAAGGGTTTAATCCTCAGCATTGTGTAAAAAGGCTGATTGATCCTGACTTCTCTGATCCTCCCCTTCTTTCAGTGTCCACTTTTTATCTCCTGATCAGAAATATCGTGTGGAGACATTCTGCACATGCTCAGTTTGGTGTGTATTGCTTGAGAGGGTGTTTTTTTTTCTTTTTTCCCTTGGGAGAGTGCATGTGATCAGCAGAAGGCCAATCAGCACTGTCCATACAGGGGATCAGGGGTTCTGCATCCCACTAGAGCAGAAAAAAAAAAAAAAAAAAACAAGTTTTATCTAGTCCTCTGCTGAACACTGATAGAAGTCACAAGACTGCTGTAACTGCTGATGAGAAAAGGTATTTAGCGGTTTATATACTAAAATAATGTGGGAGACCAGATATAGTGAATGCAGGGTCCTGGGTTTAGTAACAATTTAAGACCAACTCAAAATTGGCATACAGTGTTATAGTTTAAATTTTAGCATTTATTTCATTGGTTGCTTGGTGCTCAGACCAAGGCTGCCTGCAGCCTAGCAAGCAAGGGTGCAGGTCACACTGAACTGACAGTGGGCAGAGCTTGATGGGGAACTCTGAGAGACCAGTTCCCCATCAAGTCTGTTCTGCCTGTGATTAAAGAGGCTATAGAATCCACCCATTGCCATCTGCTTTCAAAGTGGTTCTAGAGGCTGAAGGTTTTTATGCATTCTATGCATGAAGGTAAAAAAACTTTAGTGTGCATAGCCCCCTTAATGCTTACCTAAGCCTGATCTTAATCCAGCAATGTGCACAAGAGCAGCGGCTCTCCCTAGTCTCTCCCTCATTGGCTGAGACACCAGCAGGAGCCAATGGATCCCGCTGCTGTCATTCATTGCCAGTGGGGCAGGGCCAAGGCACACTCCGTGCGTCCCATAGACACACAGAGGTGGCTCAGGAGCAAGTACGCACGAGTGCCAACAGAGCAAGCAGCTTGCTATGGGGGCACTCAGCAGGGGGGAGGAGCGCTAGTAGGGGATCAGAGAAGAGGATGAATGGGGCTGCTCTGTGCAAAACCATTGCACAGAGCAGGTAAGCATGACATGGTTCTTTTTTCCCTTTTTTTTTTTTTTTTTTTTTTTTTTTTTTAACGATTCTTTAGTATCACTTTAAATATCCAATGAGTAATACCAGCTCTGTTTGTTTCTCAGTGAAGAAGCTTTCTACAAAAGCATTGCAGCACATTATTGAAGGCTGTCAGGAGGTTCCACAAGGGGAAGCTGTATCATGCGTTGTATGTATTTTAAGGTAAGTATGAGAATAAAGGCCTTGAAACAAAAGGACAATTTTTTTTGAACGTTTGGTAATTATTTAGTCACCTAGTCATTGGCCACAGAAAGGTGTTGGTGATGGTAGTAAAACTGGTTAATGCATAAAACTTTGTGTACATGCAGCAAGTTTAGCCATTTATGAATCCTTCTAGAATGTTGTGAGACATTAGAATAGAATGTTAAACTTGCTGAACAAGGGTATATGTATGATGGGGTTTACAGTGCCTTGAAAAAGTATTCATACCCCTTAAAATTTTCCACATTTTGTCATGTTACCAAAAACGTAAATTAATTTTATTGGGATTTTATGTGATAGATCCACACAAAGTGGCACATAATTGTGAAGTGGAAGGAAAATGATAAATGGTTTTCTAAATTTTTACCAAATATCTGAAAAGTGTTTCGTGCATTTCTATTCAGCTCCCCTGAGTCAATACTTTGTAGAACCACCTTTTGCTGCAAATTACAGATGCAGGTCTTTTTGGGGATGTCTCTACCAGCTTTGCACATCTAGAGTGACATTTTTGCCCATTCTTCTTTGCAAAATACCTCAAGCTCTGTCAGATTGGATGAAGAGCATCTGTGAACAGCAATTTTCAAGTCTTGCCACAGATTCTCAATTGGATTTAGGTCTGGACTTTAACTGGGCCATTCTAAAATTGCCCTGTATTTGGCTCCATCCATCTTCCCGGGCCATTCTAAAATTGCCCTGTATTTGGCTCCATCCATCTTCCCATCAACTCTGACCAGCTTCCCTGTTCCTGCTGAAGAAAACTGTACTGTATTACCCTGTCTGTACTGAATGGAAAATATTATGTAGCAATCTAGGTCTAACATAACTATTATCCATTTTGTAACATACCGTTGCCAGACTGATTATCACTGTGAGGCTTGGGGGAATATATCCTGTTTGATAGTGTCATATTTAATGGTGAAACTGGTACTCTGATACAAAGTAAGCTCTTCAGACACTTATGACATGGCGAACAAAGTCTGGAAACCTCCAGAAAACCATAGAAGTGGGATTTTTTAGGTGGAAATGTTCTACCAGCAATCCCCAAAAAAAGTTGTATTGTATTTTTAAATAAGGTGGCTTCAAGCTCAGGTGTAAATAACAATGTTTAAACAAATGTTTTGACCTTGATACAAGTTGTCATTTTTCTTTGAGAGAATCTCCACATATAAAGTCCCACTTCAATTGTGTTCTGGATGTTTCCAGACTTTGATGCTTAGTCTTCACAAGGGATGTGGTGGGTTATACCAATGTCTGCCTTAACATATGATACAAGTGAAGAGCTTGCTTCTCCGTTAACTTACTTTACTTACTTCACATGTAGGCAGTTTATTCAAGAATATTTGTGGATGTATGATCACCAGGTATTTGGCATCTTGGAAACTATGTCAATTTTGGACCAGTCACTTGTTGTAGACCTAATTCCTACAATCTCTGAAAGCTTGAAGTCATCTGAGCATAAGCGTGGACTAGGAAGAAATGCAGCTTCTAGGTATGTTCTTGGTACAGAAAATGGACTGTGTTGCAGAAAATGTTATGAAGGGCATTTATACGCATGTTCTAAAAGCACTGCCTTCCTCCATATTATATTAATATAGAAAACTTCCTGTAGTAGCTTAGTGTGTGGCAAGCACATGTCACGTGCTTGTAGAAAACTCATTCTGATGGCATTTCCTGGTGTTTTACTAAAGATCTCCCATGCCTTTGTGAGGATAAAGAGAAGCTGTGTGGATGGATTGAACTAGCCTCCCTTGAATTCTTATCATAAAGGTATTAGCTTGTACCCAGTGGTGTCAGATCTGTTAATGGTATTGGACCTGTACTCAAACGAAAGAGGCCTACACACAGATGTTTAAAGCTGCCCAAATCCTGGGCAATAAAGGGCATCATCAGAGGTTACCTGCCAGAAAAAAAAAAGTCCTTAGAAATAGGCATCAGAAATTTCATATGAATCGGGATGGAATCTTGTTTTGGGCGAGAACCCCTCCCCATCATATGCTCAGCTGGAATTTCACAGCTGTGTGACAGAATCATGTTAAAGCTTAACAATTTGTTGGATTTTGTTAAAAAATAAAAAGGGACTTGAAATATTTAATTTTCCATGCCAAAATGCAACTTCTGACTTCTTCCAATGGTGTTGCATAACCAGAACTTTGGTATGTGTTAGGTGATCCAAATCCAATTGGTTGATTCTTCCTTTAAGGAAAAATTGTGTGAACCGATACCTAGGCACTTGACCACTGGAAGCACAGTCTGCTGGCAGGTTGGCTTTTGAATGTGTACAAAAGTTACAATGTATCCTGAACTTTTAACCACCCCTATGCATTGCTACATTTATTTCTAAACTCAATGATGGCAAGAAGTGAATGAATGAAAGGGAATGAGAAATGGCAAGACGTTTTTTGCTGTAGTACTGATAGCATCAGGAGTAAGAGCTCATAAGCTACCATTTTGTTATCACCACTAAAATGAGGGACAATAAATAGGTTTTGTATTCTTGTAGCCCCATCCAGGTATACCCACATATATTTAAGCTGTTATGTAGTTGTATTCCAAGCCAATCATTCCATCAGTGAGTCTGTTGGCCCATAGACCGGTCAATGAGAAGTGCCTCATAAGAAAATTGCTGTTAGGTCATTTAACTTCATACAAGATGAAAAGGGAGCCAGTCCATCATTTTAATATTCTCAGATGTGTGATTGATAGATGCACACACTGCTCAAAAAAATTAAAGGAACACTTTTTAATCAGGGTATAACATCAAGTCAATTAAACTCCTGGGATATTGATCTGGTCAGTTAAGTAGCAGAGGGGGTTGTTAATCAGTTTCAGCTGCTTTGGTGTTAATGAAATTAACAAGTGCACTTGATGGGCAACAATGAGACAACCCCCAAAACTGGAATGGCTTTTCAGGTGGAGGCCACTGACATTTTTTTTTCCCTACTCTTCTGACTGGTTTTCACTAGTTTTGCATTTGGCTATGGTCAGTGTCCCTACTGGTAGCATGAGGCGATACCTGGACCCTACAGAGGTTGCACAGGAATTTTACACTTCTGCAGGATGGCACATTAATACGTGCCATTTCCAGAAGATTTTCTGTGTCTCAGCACAGTCTCAAGAGCATGGAGGAGATTTCAGGAGACAAGCTGTTACTCTGGGAGAGCTGGACAGGGCCTAGAAGGTCCTTAACCCATCAGCAGGACCGGTATCTGTTCCTTTGTGCAAGGAGGAACAGGATGAGCACTGCCAGAGCCCTACAAAATGGTCAGAGGCATTCACATTAGTGGCCTGCTGGAGGTCAAACAATCAAACAGACTACATGAGGGTGGCCTGAGGGCCTGACGTCCTCTAGTGGGCCCTGTGCTCACTGCCCAGCACCATAGAGCTCGATTGGCATTTGCCGTTTGAACACCAGAATTGGCAGCTCCACCACTGGCACCCTTTGCTTTTCACAGATGAGATCAGGTTCACCCTGAGCACATGTGACAGACATGAAAGGGTCTGGAGCAGCCATGGAGAATGTTATGCTGCCCGTCATTCAGCATGACTGTTTTGGTGGTGAATCAGTGATGGTCTGGTTAGGCATATCCATGGAGGTACGCACAGACCTCTACAGTCTAGATAATGGCACCCTGACTGCCATTAGGTATTGGGATGAAATCCTTGGACCCATTGTCAGACCATACGCTGGTGCAGTGGGTCCTGGGTTCCTCCTGGTGCACAACAATGCCCGGCCTCATGCAGGCAGTTCCTTGAGGATGAAGGAATTGATACCATTGAATGGCCCTCACGCTCGCCTGACCTAAATCCAATAGAACACTTCTGGGATATCATGTTTTTGTCTGTCCAATGCCACCAGGTTGCACCTCAGACTGTCCTGGCAGAGTGATGCCCCTGGTCCAGATCTGGGAGGAAATACCTCAGGACACCATCTGTCTTCTCATTAGAAGCATGCCCTACCGCTGTCAGGCATGCATACAAGCACATGGGGGCCATAGCAACTGAGCACCATTTTGAGTTGCTGCAATGAAATTTAAGCAAAATGGACTAGCCTGCTGTGTCATTTTTTCACTTTGATTTTCGGGATGTCTTTTAATTCAGTCCGCTGTAGATTAATCATTTTCATTTCCTCAAACAATGGGGCATCCTTGCGTTCCTAACACATTACCCAGTCCACATGAGTATAGATAGCCAGCATGATTTTTTCCCCATTGAGATCTGATGTGTTTTCAAAAGTGTTCCTTTAATTTCTTTGAGGTGTGTGTGTGTTATAAAAATATTATGTATGTATGATATTATGATTTCTCTTCTGTCTAAAACGTAAATGCCTTGTTTGTTTACAGGGAGGCTTACAAAAGATTGCTGTCTCACTTGGGTGAACTTGGACAAAATGAGCTCCGAGCACTAGAAAATGAAAGACTTTCATCCTGAACCAATATCAAAGCTATTGCTTAAAACACAACTGTCATGTTCAATGGAAGCTGCGTTCTGTAGACGTTCATCAGTCTACTTAAGGATGGCATTAACTTGGGTCTATGAAATTTTAAAGAAAACAAGTATTTGTTGCACTTGCAGCAACACTAAAACGTGCAATATGGACTTTGCTTTGTATTTGTAGTGCTCTTGAGTATGTAGTGATCCTTCTCTAAGAAAATATTTTTTAGATGAATTTGTAATGTTCAAAATTTTTTATTTTGTTGTATCAAGCTGTATAATATGCACTTTAGCCTTAAAATAATGGATTTTTCTAAGTCTACAATATTTTTTTCTCTTTACAAGTGTTGCTTTATTAATCTGCCACAATCCGTTTATAAAATATTAGAATGCTTGCCTTATATTATATATTTATATCTCTTTTCCTTTCAGTGCTGATTTCTTATAAAAAATACTTTTGATAACATTACAATTAGTGACATACATATATTAAAGAGGTATCATTACATCTTTTTCACTATTCTGCCTCCAATACGAGAAAGAACACGAAGTATTTTGTCCTATGTTGCTGGGTGCTTCCTAAGTCTCTAGCCATATGGTTGGACTGTGCGCCCCCTCACAGCACCGTTGGTCCAACAACATTGCTAGGAAAAAGACAGCCCCTTGTCTCAGTAAGAAGTACTTTCCCGAGACAGGTAGCAGCAAGAAGAATGCAGAGGGAGCAAGATAGGAGAAAATGTGTCCATATATCACTGTGCACTACACGTACTCCTAATCCCACAGAAGACTACTGGTGGTTTTTACATCACTAAAGGGATCTCTTGCCCACGCCTGCCTGGATTACTGGATAACACTTGCAGTGGGGCAAAAAAGTATTTAGTCAGCCACCAATTATGCAAGTTCTCCCACTTAAAAAGATGAGAGAGGCCTGTAATTGGCATCATAGGTAGACCTCAATTATGAGAGACAAAATGAGAAAAAAAAATCCACAATCACATTGGCTGATTTGGAAAGAATTTATTTGCAAATTTATGGTGGAAAATAAGTATTTGGTCAATATCAAAAGTTCATCTCAATACTTTGTTATATATCCTTTGTTGACAATGACAGAGGTCAAACGTTTCCTGCAAGTCTTCACAAGGTTGGCACACACTGTTGCTGGTATGTTGGCCCATTCCTCCATGCAGATCTCCTCTAGAGCAGTGATGTTTTGGGGCTGTTGCTGGGCAACATGGACTTTCAACTCCCTCCAAAGGTTTTCTATGGGGTTGAGATCTGGAGAATGGCTAGGCCACTCCAGGACCTTAAAATGCTTCTTACGAAGCCACTCCTTCGTTGCCCGGGCGGTATGTTTGGGATCATTGTCATGTTGGATGACCCAGCCACGTTTCATCTCCAATGCCCTTGCTGATGGAAGGAAGTTTGCACTCAAAATCTCACGATACATGGCCCCATTCATTCTGTCCTGTACATGGATCAGTCGTCCTGGTCCCTTTGCGGAGAAACAGCCCCAAAGCATGATGTTGCCACCCCCCATGCTTCACAGTAGGTATGGTGTTCTTTGGATGCAACCCAGCATTCTCTCTCCTCCAAACACGACAAGTTGTGTTTCTACCAAACAGTTCTATTTTGGTTTCATCTGACCATATGACATTCTCACAATCCTCTTCTGGATCATCCAAATGCTCTCTAGCAAACTTCAGACGGGCCTGGACATGTACTGGCTTAAGCAGGGGAACACGTCTGGCACTGCAGGATCTGAGTCCATGGCGGCGTAGTGTGTTACTGATGGTAGCCTTTGTTACGTTGGTCCCAGCTCTCTGCAGGTCATTCACTAGGTCCCCCTGTGTGTTCCTGGGATTTTTGCTCACCGTTCTTGTGATCATTTTGACCCCACGGGGTGAGATCTTGCGTGGAGCCCCAGATCGAGGGAGATTATCAGTGGTCTTGTATGTCTTCCATTTTCTAATTATTGCTTCAACAGTTGATTTGTTCACACCAAGCTGCTTGCCTATTGCAGATTCAGTCTTCCCAGCCTGGTGCAGGTCTACAATTTTGTTTCTGGTGTCCTTCGACAGCTCTTTGGTCTTCACCATGGAGTGGAGTTTGGAGTGTGACTTTTATTTGAACTTGCAGGACAGAGGAGCCTCTTAAAGAAGAAGGTACAGGTCTGTGAGAGCCAGAAATCTTGCTTGTTTGTAGGTGACCAAACACTTATTTTCCACCATAATTTGCAAATAAATTCTTTCCAAATCAGCCAATGTGATTGTCTGGATTTTTTTTCTCATTTTGTCTCTCATAGTTGAGATCTACCTATGCTGACAATTACAGGCCTCTCTCATCTTTTTAAGTGGGGGAACTTGCACAATTGGTGGCTGACTAAATACTTTTTGCCCCAATGTATGTCTGTCTGTCACTGGTGTCATCAGGGGGAGCAGATGTAGGCCTGGTAATAGCTTGTGCCTCTACTTTGGTGGTTTTGCAGCCATACAGCACTGTGGCATGTGTAACTAAGTTAGGCTTAGGCAAAGAAACCGCTTTAAAATTTCAACTGTAGGAGTTGTCATTCACAAATTACTTTATTTCTCAATGTTTGAATAGCAAGTTTCTCTTTGTATGTCTATTGCAAATAATTAGCCTGGTTTAAAAGATTTCTGATTCAGCCTTTCAGCAATACAAGCAGTGATGTTCCAGAGGAAGGCACCTTAATAGGGGAATGTCACATGAGGGGACTTATCAAAACTTTGCTATGGGGGGCTTTGTGATTTGCAGTTACGCCTGTGAGTGAATGGAATTTGAGTGGCTTGTCAGGATCCTTGCTTTAAGATTAAATACATAACTCTGGGGTCAAAGAATTACAATCTCCGTTCCAAAGTTGGGGCACTGTGTAAAATCCATATGAAAACATAATGATTTGCAAATCTTAATTTTTTCTCAATAGAATTTATATCAAATGTGTAAACTGAGAAAATGAGCCATTTTAAGAGAAAAAAAAAAGGTCATTTTGAAATTGATGGCAGCGACACTCCTCAAAAAACATTTGGGACAGGGCATCAAAAAGCTGGCAAAGTGGTACTAAAAAGGAAAAGCTGGAAGAACATTTTGCAACTAATTAGGTTAATTGACAAACAGGCCAGTAACCTGATTGGGTATAAAATGAGCATTTTATAGACAGAGTAAAGATGGGCAGAGGTTCAACCATTTGTGAAAAACTGCTAAATCTAAAAATTTTCAATCAATTTCAGAATAAGGCCCTTCAATGTAAAATTGAAAAGATTAAATAAATATACTGTCAGCTTCTATATACAATATTGTCATATTCTGAGAACCTGAAGAAATATCTGTGCACAGGGGACAAGGCCAAAACACTATTGGATTCCTGTAGTCTTCAGGCCTTCACACAGCTCTGCATTAAAAACAGGCATGTGTGTGTGGTGGACATCACTGCATGGACTAAGGAATACGTCCAGAAATTCACTGTCTGTGAACACTGTTCACTGTACCATCCAAAAATGCAAGGTAAAGCTCTATCATGCACAGAAGAAGCCATATCTGAACATGATCCAGAAATGGACCAAAGCTCATTTAAAATGATCTGTTGCAAAGTGGAAAGCTGTTCTGTGCTCAGACAAATGAAATTTGACATGGCTTTTGGCAACCATGGGCGCCATGTCCTCTTAACTATAGAGAAGGACCTTAGGGCTTGTTGTCAGTGTTCAGTTCAAAAGCCTGCATCTGTGATGATATGGGAGTGCATTAGTGCATATTGGGCACTTTGCACATCTGGAAAGGCACCATCAATGCTGACAGAGCAGCATATGTTCCCATTCAAACAACATAATTTTCAGGGAAGGCCTTGCATATTTCAGCAGGACAATGCTATACTGCATCTTTGACAAACGCGTGGCCTCGTAGTAGAAGGGTGCTTAACTGGCCTACCTGCATTCAAGACCTTTCATCAATTGGAAATATTTGGTGCATCTTGAAACGAAAAATACAGCAAAGACAACCCAGGACTGTTGAGCAGTTAGAATGCTATATCGAGCAAGAATGGAACAACATTCCTTTCTCAAAACTCCAGCAACTGGTCTCCTCAGAAGACGGTTTGCTACACTGTAGTAAACCTAGCCTTGTCCCAAAGTTTTTGAGACATGTTGCCATCAATTTCAAAGTTATCTTACTTTTTTCTTACAGTGGTACATTTTCTCAGTTTAAACTTTTGAGGATTTTCTATTGTGGAAAAATATGGGCTCATGAAATTTGCACATCATTGCATTCTATTTTTATGTAGATTTTACACAGCAACTCAACTGGTTTTGTAATTGAGGTTTTAATTCCTGGAAAAGAAAACAAGGGGAAAAAATTTACAGCCTGAAAAGGTAATTAAATAGGATCTTTGCGCTGTAAAAAAAAAATACAAATACTGTAGCTACTGACTCTTAACAAACATGCACTTGCCAGTCCAGGGATTCAGTTCTGTCCTCACCTGGGCCCAGTGGTGTATTTAGGTTTTGTGCTGCCCTAAGCAACACAAAAATAGGAGGCCCCCCCTCCCAGGCGAAAAGAGCCTGACACTGTCCAGCACCAGACCCACTCCCCACAGAGAGAGCCTGACAGTGACCAACAACATTCCTGCCCCACCCCCACCCAAGAGAGCCTTCCACTAACGCCCCCCCCCCCCCACCACCAGAGAGAAAGACCCCCTAAAAAAAAAAGGCTTTTGCAAATAGCCTTGTACCATGTGACCTGTGTGATCATTCACAGATTTCACATGTAGTAAGCAATGATGTCAGAAGTGACCTCTTGCTTACTACTCTGCATGTGATCACTAATTGCCCGATTCTGAGGAAAATATTATGGAATCATGAAAAAAAAAAAACCCACTACATTACACCACTAGTACTTTGTGGCACCACCGCTGGCTTTTATAACAGCTTGAATTCCCTGAGGCATGGATTTAACTATTGACAAAACAGTATTCTTCATTACTTCGGCTC